AAATATTGTCATGACAACCATTTTCCATACCTGGGGAGTACTCAATATTTAAATTATGTAGATGTGGTGCTCTTTAAAAGGACGGCAGTCGTCGTGTCATGTCCTGTTCGATATGGCTCTCATAGCGACGTATACAATGCGTGTAAAATAAATTGTTTATTTACATAAAATTCGAACACGCGCTGCGCAACGACCACCACCACCGCCGCCGTATAATCTACACGTATTGGTCTATAATGGGGTCCACATTATTTGTGAAGGAATTGTTCTGTGGACACATGTATAAAATTGATATCCATGTCAACATGAAGACCCCTGAACAATTATCATTGTCATTGACTGTCTAAACCCTCTGTATGAGAATTCTATTGATATATGCTTATTAATAACATTTCTTTTCTTTTTTTTTCATATCTTTTCGAAAATTGGATGCTAAACACTACTTTTGTGTCTGTAATAAAGTGGTGAAACAAAGAATGCAAGTATACACCAGTCCCTACAAAGGCGTCATAGACTGTGCACGAACTGTGTACCGCCAAGAGGGACTACGTGCTTTCTATAGGAGCTACACCACACAACTGACTATGAACATCCCCTTTCAGTGTATACACTTTGTAACCTATGAGTTCACACAAGAGCGTTTCAACCCAAAAAGGGAGTACAACCCATTGACTCATGTGGTCTCTGGTGCCGTGGCTGGTGGCATTGCAGCGGCTGTGACCACCCCGTTAGATGTTTGTAAAACTTTACTCAACACCCAGGAATCCTGTGTAGCGTCTCGTCTCAATAACCAGGCTATCGTCGGAATGCTGAACGGCATCAAAGCTATACACAGATGCTGTGGGTTTGCTGGTTACTTCAGAGGTGTGCAAGCCAGGGTTATATATCAGATGCCTTCAACGGCACTTGCCTGGTCTGTGTATGAGTTTTTCAAGTATTTCATCACGAAGCAGAAAACAGAAAGCATGGAGTAATCTAAGAGGCTAATTGTTACATTGTGATCATCAATTTACAGTTCAAGAAGTGGAGAAGGAAATGAGATTCTGGAGATATATTTTATTTTATCTAGTAATGGTGGGTTGCACATTAGAGCAATTGCCTTTTTTATCCTGGATATTTACCACCTAGTCAGTTTTAACCTCAGTATTTATGTTAGACTGCTTCTTCTACCATAATTCAATCAGGTATTTGTTCTGCTAAAAACACATCTCTTGCGCATATAAATCAAAAATCAAATTTGTGGTATACTGATTCATATTTTGACCAGAGAAATGTCTGTAATTTACATTAAGTGCAAGCGCTACTAATAAAGCAAATATGGTAGTGTTCAGGTTGCTTGCTTGCCAGTTACTAACTTAGCTACATGTTGTAGCTTTTGTTACTAATTAATATAAAACAGATTGCACTTACTACTGAGGAGGCTTATTAAAAGGGCACTAATGCTATGTGTACAAAATTAGACTTGTACAAACTTGAAAACATAGTAAACAGCTATTTGTTCTATTAGATGCGCACATAAACCAATTCAATTGAATTTAATTTGCGTGATTATATGACTTACTTTTTAGCTAGCTTGTTTTTTTAGCTAATTTAGCCGAATTGTGATTTCACTAATTCAAGGTGTACCAGTATCTCATTTAAAACAGAACATGTTCTCACAATGAGATTGCTGTAATTGTAGCAAACATTGAGATCCTGTTATTTCATGTGTTGTGTCAAAATACCATGTGGTTTTTTCAGTATTTTGATCAGACACATCATTTACATATGCACACACGCTACTAATAGAGCAAATAAGACACTGGGTAATTTACATATTAAATACAAAATGGTCTACATGTGTTGAACAACTTTTTCATTAAAACATATCACATAATAATATTGTACTACGCTTTGAAACTTATCCATAGCCCTGGATCCATGGCATTGTCAGAGTGGGCAATATTTAAATATTCGTAGGCTGTCATTAATCCTGCTGTAGCAAGATAATGCACACTGTTTTGGATCAAACAGTAAACTCAAAATAATAATGACCACAAATTCAATTTATCAGTAAAGATCTCAATTACGCCATAGACCCTCTAACAGAGAGATCTTTACCGCAGTTTCCTATCCCTCTGATTACGCTTCTAATTTAACACAATTTGGTTGAATACTCATGTACAGCAAATTATGTCTTGTGTGTCCACTCTATTTACTAAACAGTATCCATGGCAGTGTTTAAGTGGGCAACTGTTATCTGAATGTAAATTTCGTCTACTCTGACAGAGCAGTGGTTAGAAACTGTGGCCTCTACATAAGTGGATTCAATTCTCCTCTGTAGACCTCTCACTTTTCTTTAATTCCATACCTGAATAATAAAGCTGTGGTGTAGAATGTGGTAATTCTATCTCCATAAATACAATATATTTTATATAAGTACAAAGTTCCTTTGCATATATAAATAATGTGGTCATTTGCAATCAGCATAAAAGACAATGGTGGATTTACAGAATTAAACTTGCAGCTCAAAACAATTAGATCACATAATAAGTAGTGTAAGCATTGGGAGTTTATTACGCTGCTTTTTTCATGCAACACAAAGCAAACTGCACTCACAGTCTCTATCTGGTGGAAATCTCTAAGCAGGGAGCTGTAATGAGAACTCCCTTCTATAATTGATAGAGATTTAATTACCGTAACACTTTGTATGTCTGCTATTCAAAATGTATCCAAGCTTTCAGAAATGTATACATACGTATACTGTAAATGCATTGTTTATTTTACTATTTTCGCTGATAAATAAAATCCACTAAATTAAATCTATGTGAACATGTAAAATAACAATAAAACTTGTTTTTTTCTTGACAAATTTGTGTATTAAAACGCAGTGAATATGATCAAAATAGTGAAATTAAATGTCAGTGAAAATGAATACTTTTACAGTACCAGCAATATAAAAATAACTATTTTTATTTCCATTTGTATACATTTGCTAAAAGCTTAGAGTAAACAGATAAATATATTTTGTGGCTTTGTTTGCTTTGTGCGGCTGAGATCTCGTGACTTGAATGCCCTCACATGAGTGTATAAATAACACTCATGCATGGTCATGCAGGAGATAGATAAATGTCATTGATCTAAGATGATGAGTCAAAACAAACACCCAATCTGATTAGTTTATCTACGATTCATGACATACCTAGCTGTGTGTATTTTTATCGGGTCGTGTGAGGGTGTTTACAAATCATAACACTCATTCGTATCTTCAGTACAGAACTAGCATCGGTAGTGCTGGTATGAAAGGTCAGTCTACACCAATGATGAAACCAAACCAATTTCATTGCATGCATTAACACAATGTGTGCACTCATTGTATCTTGCTAAAATGTTCAGTGATTCCGCAAAATGATGACTAACAAAAATAAAGGTCAAAGTTGTAAGCCCTCGCAGTTTGTTGGCGATTCGTCCGCTCCGCTAGGATTGCCATTAAAATCACTTTTGTCTGTGTTATTTTCTGTGTCTTCACGTGTTAATCCTTTAATTTTTTTTTGCCCGGGCTTATTGCGCTCAAACTTGGCAGGCAGGTCACACCTTCACTGAAAAAAATTCTTGCCCCACTGTTGGCGTGGCAACAGCAAAAAAAAAAAGATTTTTAAATAGCTTTGCTCCAAATGCATCTCATCTTACAATTCTAGGACTAAAAAGACATAGCTCATTCTTCTCAGCTTGAGTGTGGGCACAAAGTTACAATTTGTTTTTTTGATATCCCTTTTATTTCCGAGAAATTTTACCTCAAGGTTGGAGTAACTTTTCACCAATAACAGCATTTTAACTTTTTGTGATTTTTTTTGGCTGGCCAATTTTGTTCATACCCGGTATTTGGTAGGCAGGTCATACCGTCACTCTAGTTGGATGGTAAAATTGTGAAATTCCTGACCCACCATGGCAACAGCCCAAAAAAATAATTTTTGAATACTTTCACCCCAAATGTATTACTTCTTACCAGTCTTGTAATAGCTGTGTTCAAATGATCATGCGCACTGACGAGTGATCATCGGTGCCGACATTGTTACACTGTATCAACTGTAAATGCTGCGTTACCTGTTGTTCATGTCCTAAAATGGAAACGTATTGTTTTGTTTTTTTAGCGGAGTGGATCGCGATTGTCAACTTTTAAAATGTTGGTGATCCCAAGTGCATGTCCTGTAGAGACGCACACACTGGATTTCTTTCAGTGATCTAGAGTGAGTGTACATCCTGCACACGCTGGATTCATTTTTATTTCACCCTTATCAGATCAAATACTTGTTGGTTGTCAGTTCAGTCCAATGTGAATGCTTGTTGGTTGTCATTTCAGTTCAATGTGAATGCTTGCTGGTTGTCATTTCAGTCCAATGTGAATGCTTGTTGGTTGTCATTTCGTCCAATGTGAATGCTTGTTGGTTGTCATTTCAGTCCAATGTGAATGCTTGTTGGTTGTCATTTCAGTCCAATGTGAATGCTTGTTGGTTGTCATTTCAGTTCAATGTGAATGCTTGCTGGTTGTCATTTCAGTCCAATGTGAATGCTTGTTGGTTGTCATTTCAGTCCAATGTGAATGCTTGTTGGTTGTCATTTCAGTCCAATTTGAATGCTTGTTGGTTGTCATTTCAGTCCAATGTGAATGCTTGCTGGTTGTCAGTTCAGTTCAATTTGAATGCTTGTTGGTTGTCAGTTCAGTCCAATTTGAATGCTTGTCTGTTGTCAGTTCAGTCCAATGTGAATGCTTGTTGGTTGTCATTTCAGTCCAATGTGAATGCTTGTTGGTTGTCATTTCAGTCCAATGTGAATGCTTGTTGGTTGTCAGTTCAGTCCAATGTGAATGCTTGCTGGTTGTCAGTTCAGTCCAATTTGAATGCTTGTTGGTTGTCAGTTCAGTCCAATTTGCATGCTTGTTGGTTGTCAGTTCAGTCCAATTTGAATGCTTGTTGGTTGTCAGTTCAGTCCAATGTTTATGTTATCATCCTGATACCAGTGCTCTAGTTGTGTTGTGACAATAACCCAGATACTCGACTGGATTATTCAGCTGTGGTCACCAACTGTCTTTTGTGCTCACTGCAGATTAATTACCTACCGGGGTAATATATCCTCAATTAGAAATTAATTGCTTTTGTAATAAATTTACCCAAATAGAACACTACTGTATACTAATTTTCAGAATTTTGTTTTTATTCTTTGGGGAGGGGGGTGTAATGCTTTGGTTGAACACAGGATGTATATACATGTATAGTGTTCCTTTTCACGGAATCTTAGATTTCAAAGAACATATTTTGCTATTTGTCCAGTAAGAATCTGTGACAATTATAACATAATTTGCATAAAATGCAGCTAGAAAATGCCGCTGAGCATGTAGTGTTAATAAAAAGAATGTTTTTTTAGACGTAGATTATTCCATGTGGAGCCAAGTAGAGTGGCGTTGTGCCTAGGGCGTGGCATGGTGTCACGGCTCGGCCAAGTGGTGTAGTGTGGCCTGGCATCATACCTAGCTAGACCAAGTGGGATGGTGTCATACCTAGGCCATGTGGAGTGACGTCATGTCTAGGCAAAGTTGAGTTGTGTTGTGCCTAGACCAAATGGAGTTGCGTCACTCCCAAGTAAAGTGGAGTGGTGTATAGTGTGTGGGATGTACATCTTTATATATTCAAAGCTAAGGGCAATTTGAATGTAAATATTCCCAACAATCTTGGATCTGTCAAGTAAAATAGTTTGAGACTAATGTCTTCTGATGCGATAATAGTGTACGACCAAGCTCAAATTTAACTTATCAAGTTTAACACACAAGCAGTATTAACACATACAGTTAATTTTCTTGATTTGATTTGGACAAAATTCTGTGAAAATTGCTGACTTTCTGACCCCAGAAACATTTTCAGGAATTCAAAATTGTGTGATTTTCACAAACATCAGAGAAAACTTATTACATGCATGGAAGTACATTACTCTTTTATTTCATTGAGGTAGAGTTTAATTTCTGGACATGATATCTTGAGTATAGAAAATTGTTTACAGTAATGAAGTGTGAACATCTCTTTCTCAGTCAGGTTATTCTTGCCATCTTAGTTTTGGACAAATTTGCTTTCACATATTAAATGTGTCATAGATGTAGGGTCAATGCCAACTTTTATTAAACTGGAACAACTGTAATTGCTCTATTAGAAGAACATCTCCAATAAAAGTGCATATAAGACAAAAAGGATTATTGGATTGAAAATCTGCAATTTACGCAAATGCATGTGCTATTAATAGAGCAAATATGGTAGTCATAACTTTTGAAATCTCGGTGGAGTGAAATTTGGGTTCTCACTACACATTCTCATCAATAATGTTTATTAAAGTTTTTCATTTATTCAAATGTCTTATCTTGCTGAACACAACAGTCACTATTTATCCCATTTTACAAAACTAACCTGCATAATGTTTTGTTCAAACATTTCATCTTTGGCCAACGAGATAATTATGACCACTTGGCTAAAAAAACACTTCAAAAAGAAAAACCAAGGTCTGAATGTAACACAGTGGATCAATTATAAAAATTGTGTCTGACCTACAAACCAGTGAATGAGTGACAGACTGGTTTATTGGAACACAGAGTTGATGATTATTTAAAAAAAAAAATCAGTCTTCAAAAATACAATTATACTGAAATACCTGTGCAATACATGTTGAAGCCTACCTCATATACTGGTATGTGTTAGGGATCAACCATTTGAAATCATTGAAGTGTCTGGTTTGATCACAGCAAGTTTATTTGTGGTGTTTTCTCTTATCTGTACATTTTTATTTTCCTGAACATGCAAGTCTTTGTATGCAATATTTTTTTCTC